TGACATACTTTCTGCCATATTTAGTGATAAATGTGACATACTTTCTGCCATATTTAGTGTTAAATGAAGCTGAAAATATCTCAAACTTTTGTGACATACTTTCTGCCATATTTAGTGTTAAATGAAGCTAAAATATCTCAGATATTTGTGACATATATTTTCTGCCATATTTAGTGATAAATGTGACATACTTTCTGCCATACATCGTGTTAAATGAAGCTGAAAATATCTCAAATATTTGGGACATACTTTCTGCCATATTTGCTTTGCTCCAGATTAAAACAGTGACAGACTACTAGCTACAACAGACATTAAAATCTTGCTTAAACAATAAAAAAGAGCTTGAATCACATTTAAAAAAATTATGAGAGGAAACAGATAAAAYCTCTAAAGATTACAGAGCAAAAGTTTACTGGTACCATTAAAGAAGAATTTACACTTTTGTTACTATTTGTCTGTTTTTCTTCAGTTTCTGTCACACTGTGTGTCTTGTTTGTCCTTCTGTCTTTATTAAGAAGATGAAAAAGAAAAACTAAATAAACCCAATAAAAACAGTTGTTTATTTTAAAACTTTGGTCCGTCACTGAGAGTTTAGCGGAGACTCAATGATCAGAAACAGTGGTGTCACTAGGCCTATTTTAGGGGGGCTGGAGCCCCCCTTGCTCTTAAAACCTAGTGACGCCCCTGATCAGAAATCTGTCAGATTAAAGGCTGATGGATCAACAGACTTATTATTGTCAAACATTTGTTTTTGTTTACCTGAAGAGACACCTGCCAGGGCCAGGAGTGAGGCACCGCCTCCTCACCGTTCACGATACGAGAGTAACCGGTGATGGCAGGAGTGATGGCGGGCACGCCACAACCTGATGACATCATCGTTACATCATCAGTAAACAACAGACACAAACAACACAAATGARTTGATGACTGAGGAATAAAAGCACAGTGATTGAACTGTGGGGAGGAGGCGGAGTCTAACCGTAGGCGGCGCCGGCGAAGGCGAGGCAGGAGAGGATCCACAGGAAGGCCATGGCTCGAACATGTTCAGGCCGTCAGCGGAGGAGCTTTTATCCTTCAGAGGAGCGATGTGATTGGACGAGACCGGGCCGTGTGATTGGACGAGACTGGGCCGTGTGATTGGACGAGACCGGGCCGTGTGATTGGACGAGACCGGGCCGTGTGATTGGACGAGACCGGGCCGTGTGATTGGACGAGACCGGGCCGTGTTATCACAGGGCGGTGGGAGCTGAACAGGTGCAGCTGTTTGGTTTTCCATCAGAAGAGGCTGAAAGATGAAGGTCAGGCCTGTGACTCACGCCAGAAAGAGTTATTTCATTTTAAAAATATGTTTCCAACACGGAGCTGAAACATCTGCCAGGAAGATTTCTGAATAAATACTCATTTAACAGTAAAAAAAGGTTTCTGAAGTGAAAAAACGAGGTGTTTTTAAACAGAATGTAATAAATTCAGTGATATTTCAGATTTTATTAAACGGTTTAGGCCTGTTTTGTACGGTATAGTTTGGAAGACGATGCTAAAAATGTTACATCAGTGTTCAATAAAATGATGAAAGTGGGGTTGAGGAAATATGAAAAAATATCATAAGTATTCATGTAAATTTGTGTTCTGGAAAGATTGGACATTTTTCTTGTTTTGTTTTGTTTTATGTTAATTGAAGATTAGTTTTGTTTCAGTTTATATTTGAGGAAAAAAGAGGCAGATATAGGACTTTTTTTCTTCTCTGCTTCCTTTCATTTCATTGCATTTGTGTGTTTTTTATATTTGTACATA